GGGTCAGGCCACCTGTGCCGGCGGGCTTCTTATTCCTCTACGAATACGAAGCCACACATGAGACTGTGTGCCGTTTTATGCTTTAAAGGTTGGCACGCCTCTACCTAATTCCTTGGGGAGTATGCACCATTTTGCTCAGTGAAGTTTCCTTATAGTTCGACATCCATGGGGTTATGGGGTGAAGAACGATAGGGAACCAGAAAAACGATTTGTATTGGTTTCTACTCCTTTAGCATGTCTGCCATGTTAATCTGCACAGTATACAATATGCGTCAAAGTTGTATATGGGTTGCTAATAAGGGTGGGACTTTTCATATTTAATGGACGTCGATCCCCATAATTTGATGGGAACTCTTCCAGGCCAGATTATGAGGTAGAACGACATTCTGTTCCCTCACTGCTCCTCCATTCAGCAGAAAGGAAAGCATCCTAATGGACTGTGGGAATCATGAGAGGCCTTGAGACATGCAAGGCCCCCTGGTAGGGCGAGTCTCAGCAAAAGTTGCCCCTTGAGAGAGCGTGTTTGCAAATCTCAAGGAATCTCAGGATTCCTGCAGTCCAGCGGGATGCTTTTCTTCCCACTGCCCGGAGGAACAGTAAGGCCACTGAATGCAGGTAAGGGGGTTGTTCTACCTCATCCTCTTATGGAACTTTCACTCTCATAATTTGGCCTGGACTGAATTTCCTCCCTGAATTATGGGGATGGAAGTCCATGAAATACAACAGTCACAAAGCTAGCTGCTAATATATGACCTGTGGCAAAATGTGGCCCGGGGGCCACATACGGCCCGCGAGCCGCTCCTGTCTGGCCCGCAGACAGTTTTGAGCATCAAAACCATTTATAGCTTTTTGTCTAAAGTTGATCAATTGCTTATATGTAACATGAGCTTAAAAACCTCTTTAGTATTTGTGAAGATTAACAAGTTTAAAATAAAAACAATCATAACATCACTGTTTCATTTCATTTTTAAGTAAAGTTGTTTCAGCCCCTGAACACAGTTCAGATTTTTCATGTGCCCCCCCTATAGAAATAAATTGCCCACCCCTGATGTAGGGGGAGAAAGGCGGCATACAGATAAATAAGTGGCCATATTCTATCCCTTAAAATGTGACTCATCCAGTAGAAAGCTGCAGCTTAAGTAGGCCCGCTGAACCAGCAGGCATTTGATGAGTTGATGCCTCTGTAATTTTCACTGATGTAGTGGCCCTACTCTAGTTGTATCTTACTGATGGATTTCAGCCACTGGTTCCCTCTGTGATGCTTTATGACCGCTGGCATTGAGTGCGTGAAGTTAGCAAATTTTGCACTTGTATGCAAATGAGCATTCTTGTAGCCCCTCTCCAGCCCATAAAGACTGAAAATGAATTTGTATGCCTTGGCTTCCTCCTTGCCAAATTTTGTAAGTTCGCACGAGCAAGGGAGTGATGCAACTTACTGAGGTGCCGTCCCTTGATGGCTAGGAGTCCTTTGTAGCTGCACACCTCCTGCTCCACCCTCTCCCTTCTCAGTCGGCGGGAAGGCAGTGCTGGAGGAGATGCTTGCAGCAGCAGAGGTGTGGCACGCTTCTCAGAAAGGTCCCCTCCATCACAGATAATCCAGTTTTCACATAGCAATAGCATTTTTATGTCAAATGGAGTTGCCTTGGTACCTCAGGCTTCTACAGCAGGGGAGGTGGGGTTTAGTTGGAAGTGAATTTGGGGACTGATCGTGGTAGAAAATGTTCAGGTTGTCCATCCCGCCACCACCACCACCCTCCCGAGGAAGTGGAGAGAGGCCATCTATCCTCGTTTGGGATAGTGTGGGGGTGGAAGTAGGCGATCCTTCCCAAAATAGCTACAGTCACTACTGCAGCGTCAGGGTCAGCTGAATGGGCCCTTCAGTGTTGCCTCCCTGCAGTGATGGGCCTGATGTGTGTTTTTTTCCCCCTGCAGGCACAGAGGAACAGATGGTGCCCAAGACCTCGCCAGACCCCACAGGTGCCGAGAACCCAGCCACACCCCCGGGGGAGGGGGTGCTCAGCTCCGACCTTGACAAAATCCCCACTGAAGGTCAGGCGGGCCCTTTGAATAGACCTACCGCTCCCCATCTCCCTACCAAGGATCTGCCCCCTGGAGAGCAGGGGAGACTGGGAGCCAGAGCTCTCCTGGCTTCCCTCCCCAGCTCCAGAATGGGGGCAGATAACTGGTGACTTCAAGGAAGCATGAGTGCTGTTGTACCCATTGTATCCAGTGTTTTTATACCCACCCCTTTGCGTCCACTCCCCGGTTTCCTTGAAGTTCGACCTGCCCTCATGGGAGATCAGCAGCTTCCCTATATGGCTGAAGTTGCTCTCTGTTGGTTATTTGTTCATAAGAGTCCCCTGTGGCTTTTCTCCTTACTAACAGAGCTGCCCAAAATGGAAAGCAAGGATGTCCAGCAGCTCTTCAAAGATGTCCTGGGGTCGGCTGAGCGAGAGCAGCAGCTCAATTGTGTGGGAACTGAAGCCGAGGCGGGGGGCATTCGCGATCCGAACCGTACACCACTTGCCCAAAGGCCGTTCCTGCAAGGTGAGCCTTTCATCATGTGGATGGGACATGAGTTCCGTTCTTGGTTTACTTCAGAGGCTCTGCCCACTGAAATTTCGAAGAGAGAGGCAGCATCATGCCAGCATCCGTCTTAAGTCTGTGGAGCCTTCTACCTAAGAGAACCCTATAGCAAAAACCATATATTCTGCTAGAGTAGCAGAAGAACAAGAGTTGCTTAAATTTTCCCCATCAGCAAGTTTTCCATAGTCCAGCAAAACTTGGGAGGTTTTGTGACTAGGGCGAGAAGTTCTTCCCTGGGATTGTTCTTCCTATTTTGTAACAATAGCACCACATACGCACATACGGCAGGTCAAGGTGTATAAATGTTCCCTTTTCTCATAGAGAACTTAACAGCAGCACCATTGCAGTTTGTTCACTTATTTATTCTTCTAAAACAAGGGTGGGCAAACTGCAGCCTCAAGACTCCTAAGCCCAGTTTTTCTCTGGAGAAAAAGTGTGGTTTGTGTGGTGTTGGTCGAGAAGCCCCCTTTAGAGGTCACGAGAAGCAATTCTGCCGTCTTTTGGAGCCCACCCTCCCTGCCCCAATTCTGTAAATTTTATTTTTCAAGAATTTTAGCCACTAGGAGGCCTAGAGAGCTTTTTCACTTAACAAAACATGTCAGCTATATTTGGGAGAAGGCAAGAAGGGAGGCAGGTGGCATGGCCCTCCTAAGGCCCCAGGGTAGGCAGGCTCAGCCCCTGGACCCCCAGAGACTGCCCACTTCTGAGTTAAAGCATTTAAAACTCACCCGTCAGCTGGGAGGTCTTCCAGAAGAACTTACGTACAGTCCCAGTGAAATCAAGACAGTCCTTACCCGTTCACTTCCACTGAACAAAGAAGCAGGCACAAGACAAGAGGAGAGAATTAAGACACCAGGCACCCACTCAACCCCAGTCCCGGTCATGGCTACGTGGGAGAGGAAGAGCCTGGGGGCGGGGGGGGGGGCGAGCTGGTGTTTCAGCAGTGCTGTTGGAGTGGCCCTGCAGCAACTACCATGGACTACCTTTTTTATATGGAGTTCAGAAGCTATAGTGCCCACTGAAAGCTTCACAACAGCATTGCATAGCCTTGGAGCTGAGGACAGGATCACACACACACTCTTGCATGGAGGAGCTCTCAGGACATGGGTGTGAGCACTGGTCATCTTCTGGATTGGTTAGTGCAATGCTCTCTATGTGGGGCTTCCCTGAAGACTCACCTGGAGACTACAGTGGATCCACAATGTGGCAGCCAGACCGGTGACTGGTGTGAACAAGTTTGACCACATCCCTGGTCCGTCTTCATAGGTTACCCATTGAGTCCCAGATCAGGTACAAGGTTTTGACAGTCGCATATAAAGCCCTTCGTGGTTTGAGACCACGTTACTTGTTCCCCAGTGTCATCTGCCTGACCCACCAGATCTTTCAAACTAGGCTCTTTCTCCCTTCCCTTCCCCCCCCCGGCCTTCTCTGTGGTGGCACCAACCTTATGGAATCAGTTCCTGGAGGAGTTACACCAGGCTCTCTCCCTGATGTTGTTTAGAAGACAACTCAAAACATTCCTTTTCAGAGACACCCTTCATACTGATCCCGGTTGACTGTTTGTCTCCTGTTGTTATTGGGAAACTGCCTTTGGCGCCATTTGGTTTTATGTTTCTAACCTTTGTCTATTGAGCAGCTGATACATATTTTATCATATTGTCAAACTGCCCAGAACAGTGCTTTTGCACTAATGGGGCAGTATATTATATTAAAAGAAAATTAAATAAAATTAAATAAATAAGCAAACAAGCAGGCAGGTGCAGTGGTATGTTCATAGAGTCCCATCATGCGCTAGCAGAACATGGGCTGGTGTGCCCGTGGAGGCCATTGCTGGTGGATGTGACTCTGCTTCCCTCCTTGGTTTATGAATAGAATGCAAAGAATCCAAACAAATTCTGTTGCCTTTTTATCTCATCACCAGCAATTCTAAAATGTGAGTTCTATCTCATGTTTTCTGCTGCTGGATTTGAAGTGTTAAAAAAGTTTCCAAAATAAGAGATGGGATGGTGCGCTGATGGAGCGGTTAGCACCCAAGATCAAAATGCTAAAAGAGAATCACAGGAATCTGGCACCGTTTATTATGCATTTTTGCAACAATGCGCCATCTGTCAGTCTCCCACAAATGCAACTGAAATTTTAGAGAGACTTGCTATGAAAATTAAATTTACCGTAGCAATGAATGATGCTATGGATGCACAGGATCAAGAAGGATAGGCAAGTGTCATGGCTACATCCCTCTTTACTCCCATTTCACTCCCTTATTTCTTTCCCATGACCCTTAGCCTTGTTGTGTAATACTCGGTTGTATGATTCTCATTTCTACTTAATACAATTCTGCTATTCTTCTGTGTACAATTCTGTTTTTCCAACTGTACAATAATGAATTTTAGCATAATAATGTAGAATTCTTGTTCCTATTTGAAAATGTAGTGGTGTTTTTTTTTTAAAAAAAAAAAAGATTACAAAATAAAATATGAGTAAGAACACATACGATGTGGAAGTTGCCCTTTGGAAAGTTTGGATAGGCACCTGTCCACACGCAGAGGCCTTGGGTGGAAGATGCGGGTGGATTTCAGCCTTGGTGATGCTGCCTGTCCTTTTTGTAGGTGGGGGTGTCTCCCTTGGGCCCCTGCAGCCTGCTGTGCCCATGGAGACCTACTCCGGAGTTTGCCAGTCCCCATTTCTTGACAGCAGGTAAGTTGGTGGCTGTAGGGTCCCCTCCCCATCCAGTGGGAGACCTTTTGCTGCCTGAGGTGCTGCCTCCAAGGTCTTATAACCCAAGCCTTTGGCCGGCCCGTGGGCCCTTTTTTTCACCTTGTTCCCATCATGACTAAAGGCAACAGATCATCTTGGAGGGCTCGGGACAAGATACTTCAAGCAGAGCTCCTCCATGCAGATTCTTGTTGCTGCTTCAAACGTTTGCCACCTGAGAAGCCCATGGCCTCACTCTGCTGGGTGTTGTGGATGGCCCTGACCTCTCGATGCCACTCTGGCTCTAGTGCAGCCCTTCAGCTGCCCACCCGGGAGGCCGGCGCCTCTGCTCCCGGCAGTTCATGTGGCCTTCCTTTCGCCCCTTTTTTGCCTGCCTTTAGGGAGAGGAGCGGCTTCTTCAGCCCTGAGCAGTGTGAACCCGAGAGCCCCTGGGCCAGCAGCTCTGCAGCATCCACACCCACCACGCCCACTACGGAGGGGGAAAGCGATGGGCTCTCGTACAACCAGAGGAGCCTGCAGCGCTGGGAGAAAGATGAGGAGCTGGGAGAGCTCTCCACCATCTCTCCGGTGCTCTATGCCAACATGAACTTCCCCAGTCTCAAGCAGGACTACCCAGGTCAGTGGCCGCATCCTTCGACCTCCATTCCACGGCTCACCCCCAGACCCTATTCCCCCTAGCTTTAAGACTCGCCTTTGTGTTGCCTAGGGACTTCTGCTCACTGCACATTTGTGATAGTGAAGGGTCTGCTCTTCCCTGGCGAAGTGGGCCTTGGGTACAGCAGAACACCATGTAACACCCAACAGGGCTTGAAGGGGCCAGGTTGGTAAAGCTGCTGGTATTATTCTCAGTTTAACTGAGCAGGAGAGTTCCCCATTCTCTTCCACTGGGCATGACATCTGCCAGTTTTGTGGGTTTAACAAAGCAGGTTGAAAGTATATAGATGGAAATGATGGGAGACTAGAGAGTCCAAGGCAGATTGTATAAGGTGGAGCACTTCCACTCTGCAGTAAGCGGCATGTCTCTTGTCTGTCTGCATATGCATAAGTGAGTATGCTCTCACAGAAATGCATTCAACCGGTGTGCATCAGTAGGCATCTTCTCTCACTAGCGATACAGGACTGATTTTGTTGCACTCTATGAAAGGGTGGTAGTAGGTTTTATGGTTTGACAAGTACAGTGGTGCCTCGCATAGCGACGTTAATTGGTGCAGCAAAAATCGTCAGTATGCGATTTTAAAAAACCCATAGGAATACATTGAAACCCCTTCAGTGCGTTCCTATTGGCTTAAAACTGACCTTTAAGCAAAGATCATCCATCCAGCGGCCATTTTCGAGGAATCCGCCCCTAAACACAGCGGGTGGCCACTTTTTTTTCCCGGCGGCGATTTTGGAACCGTCGATCAGCTGGGGGAAAATAATCGCTTTGCAATAATCAGTAAGCGAAACAGGGAACCAATCATCACAAAGCGAAAAAACCCCATTCAGACCATCGCAAAGCAATCGCAAAATCTTCATAATGCCCGTTAAGCGAGGCACCACTGTATTTGAATGTGGGTCTTCCCTTTCTGAAGCCTGAAGTTGGTGAAACTGTATGAGACCATACTGGGCGTTTTGGGCCTTAGTAAATATGTAGACTCAAGACATCTTTTTTCTCATTCCTCCAAGACTGGTCAAGCCGCTGCAAGCAAATCATGAAGCTCTGGAGAAAGGTGCCAGCCCCTGACAAAGCCCCTTACTTGGTAAGTGGCACGTGTAGAAACGTTTTATATGGGTAAGTTTTTGCATGACTCTTCTTAAATGGTTATTTTTCCTTCTGCACTTATGTGTTTTTTTAATATATATATTAGACTTTGGATTGTTTGTGTCTGTGCATGCATGTGCACTCTGACTTTATGTCCCTACCCGGTTTGCTCGTTGCTAGGTTACAAGCAGGCCTTCCGACAAAACGTGGCTGCATAAAAATGCTGGTGTTTAGAGTTTCAGATGCTCAGCTGTGCTCTGTGGTGGAATATCTGATTCCATCTCCCACCACCATGTTGTTGTTTGTTATGTTTATTTTTCACCTTTATTCCAATGAGCCCAAGATGATCTATCAGTGTACAGATCTCTTTCACCCCATCCTCCTCAGCCATTTTATATCCTTACAACAGCTTTGGAGACTGGGAGAGAGGATCTAATGAATTTTGTGGTCCTTTTAAGAAGAAAGTTGGGGTAAATATATTTGCAATTAATTAAATTGTGGGGACTTGAACTCGTGTCTCCTGTGTCCTTGACCCACACTTTTGACCACATGAGGAGAATGGTCACTCGGAGCTTGAGTTTATGCCTACTATGGTTAGGGTATGAAAAGGCAATTGCTTCTTGGGAGGGCTGGGACTTCCTGGGAGCTGTAGTTTCCCTGCCCATTAGGCTCTATTAAAGGGCTTCTACAAAGAACTACATGCCCCACAAGTAGGCTTGAGATAGCTAAGCAGCCTGGAAGATAGACTTTGTTTCAGGTGAGTGACATGGAGGTGCCTGCAGATAGTTTTGGGCTGAAACTCCCAGAAGTCTGCAGGGAGACCTCCGGGAGCTGAAATCCAAAAAAGGCATAAATAGCACCCTGTACTACTGTGCTATTTTATTTTTGTAATTCAGAACAACAGTAACTTAGGAAGTGGGTGATTCAGCGTGATAAGAAGAGAACATTCGTCCAGCTTTGCCATGAGGGGCACTTTTCATTTTCTTGGCCTTCATTTTCTCCTTTTGAATTGTTTTACCCAGCAAAAGGCCAAAGATAACCGGGCAGCCCATCGCATCAACAAGGTGCAAAAGGTAAGGGAGACCTTTGTGTGTGTGGGGGGGGAGAACCAGTGGGTGAACAAATATGAATTGAGCAATCTAGGAATGCTGTGCTGCGAAGGCTGTTGGGCAGAGCCGTGTCAAGCCTCTCCCAAGAAAAGCTGGATTCTGCTTCCTGTCTCAGCTGGTGCAACTTTTGTGTCATTGGTGCTGCTTCTGATCCCGCGGACAGGAGCACAAAGATGAGTCTGGATGCTGATGTAACCGGGAGGAGGGAGGGATGAAGGGAGAAAACTGAGATTTTAAATTCTGCAGTTGTGATAATAAAATTATCAAAATTAAAAAAGAAATCCAAAATATCTGCCAGCTCCCGGTGTTCCACCCCCGTTCCAACAAATAGCGTGCTCCATGCATTGGGAAATGGGGTACTTACACAGGGGGTGAGTGTATTTCTGTCCTGCTACGGATGGTGTCCGTGATGACACACCTCTTTTGTGTTCTTTGCCCCTTCCTTCACAGCAAGCTGAGAACCAGATCAACAAGCAGACCAAAGTCGAGGTGCTGCGGAGACCAGACCGCCCGGCCTTGCACCTGCGCATCCCTCCCCAGCAGGGGGCGCTGCCTTGTGCCACCCAGCCACAGCCGCCACCACCACCACCTCCTCCTCCTCCACCTCCACCCCCTGCCACCTCTGTACCAGGGCAGCCCATCTATGTCAACAATGCTGCATCTCTGCCAGGCGGGTCAGGCATCGAGTCGCCCAGCGAGGTCTTCCTCAAGCTACCCTCTTCTGCCACCAGTGCCCAGCCCCCAGCGCAAGTGCCTTTGCACGAGCCCTATGGCATGGCCTCTGCCTGCCCCCCACCAGATCCAGGTTTCCCCTCTCCCTCCTTGGTGGGTCAGAGTCCTACCATACCGGCCGGCTTTGCCTCTGCTTCCTCGTCCTCCTCCTCCTCCTCCTCCTCATCCGGACAATCCCCTCTCCTTTCCAACCCTCGTCCAGCCCCGCAGCCGGGGGAGTTCCAGCCCACCCCTCCTGGGACGCCAAGGCATCAGCCCTCTACCCCGGACCCCTTCCTAAAGCCACGCTGCCCCAGTGGCTCCATGGAAAACTTGTCTGTGCCTGGAAGTCCCCAGCGAACTGCCCTTTTGCTTTCACCTCCGCCCTTTGGGGAGCCGAAGAAGCTCTTGGACATCAAGAAGGAAGAGGTCGGCCCTGGGATCTGTTCGCCCAGCTACGGTGGCAGCTACACGGACTCCCCCTCTGGGGCTCACCATCATCCCAGCGAAATGAAGGCTCCGGATGTTTTCAAAGCCCCACTCACCCCCCGGCCGTCTCAGGTGGAGCCGCAGAGCCCAGGCTTGGGGCATCGAGTCCCAGAGCCTCACCCTCTGGCACCTTCTCCCCCTAGCCAGGCTGATCTCTACAGGCAGTCGCCCTATGCAGACCCCTACGCCCAGCCCCCCTTGACACCTAGGCCTCAGCCCCCTGCCCCAGAGAGCTGCTGTGGCCTGCCTCCTCGCTCCTTGCCCTCGGATCCCTTCTCTCGCATACCGGCCAGCCCGCAGTCGCAGTCCAGCTCCCAGTCCCCGCTCACTCCTCGGCCTCTCTCCAACGAAGCCTTCTGTCAGTCCCCCGTCACCCCTCACTTCCAGTCCCCTGACCCCTACTCCCGGCCCCCGTCACAGCCCCAGTCGCGGGACCCCTTTGCCCCTCTGCACAAACCCCCTCGGCCCCAAATGCCGGACACCAGTTTCAAGCCCATGTCCATTGCTCATAACAGCCTTGCTGTGGGGAGTTTCCCCACGGGGGCTCCCTCAGCCGATCCCCACCCCAAGGCCAACCAGCAGCCCCAGTTTGCTCGCTCCCCTGGGACCAGCGTCTTCCCAAACACTCAACCCCAGATGCGTTTCACCTTCCCTCCGAATGAGCCAATCAAGAGCTCCCCTTCCCATGGGGTCAACAGCCATTTTGCACCTGGCAAGCCCCAAAGCACAAGCTACATTTCTTCGCCTGGATTTCACCCAGCTGGGAGCCCTCTGGGGCCCAGCAAGAATGCCTCAGAGTCATACACTGTCTCCCCATTGCGCCCCCCTTCAGTCCTGCCCCAACAGCCACCTTCTCAGCAAGATAGCCCGTTGTCCTACCTGCCACGGACAGGTGTGGTGCCATCAGGAGAGAAGAGAGAAGATGGAGTGGTAGGAGCCCCGCATAGGGAGCTGCAAGAACTGCCGGCCAGCCAGGAAGCGGCTCTTGGCAGCAGCGCCAGCCAAACAGAGATGGAGAAGCAGAGGCAGGTGAGTTGGTTACCCCTGTGGCCCATTTGCAGAGGGCTCCAGGGGCAGCCCTGGGGCTGCAAGAGGCTGGGCGGGTTGGCCGTCCTTGGCGCTTGGCTTGCACTCCAAAGAAGGCCTAATAAAAATACCAAGAATGCACGGATTTCTTTCTTTGCTTGGGTTTCTATACTGTGCTTCTAAAGAAAAGCTTTGAGCTCTCAGAGAGGGCACCCACTATTTTACACTTATTTGTATGAATAGGTAAACAAACCGGAAACTGAAGACAGCGTAAGAGGTTGTGTCTCTTACGTAGAGTAGCTAACTTTACATACTGATTTTATTTTTGTACACTCATTTTAGCTTGCATTTTCTGCTCCTTACTCCATTTCTTAGTTTGTGTTTCTGTCTGTTTGCATGACTGTAGTCATTAAATGACAGTTGAGTAAGTACAGTAGGTGACATACATACATACATACATACATACATACATACATACTCCCACACTTTGATGTGCAGTAAAGAGAAAAGCGTGAGAGTTCATTCTTCACCCTGGAAATGAGTCTAGTTTTAAAAAAACAATTGCTTCTGGTGCTAGTCCCAGAATCTGAGATTCTTACTGGTGCAGGGGCAACAGGAGGAAGAACAAGTGACTAGGAGTGATCCAGATTTGGCAGATCTCCTGAGCTCAGGGCAGACAGACAGACTGTACTTTGGGACCTCTTTCCCCTGCTAGCGCCAGAGACTCCGAGAGCTGCTCATCCGCCAGCAGATCCAGAGGAACAACTTGCGGCAAGAGAAGGAGAGTGCCGCCGCCGCCGCCACCACCAGCGCCCAGGCCTCGTGGAACCCTGAAGGCAGCGGGCAGCCCTTTGAGCAGATGACTCGGAGCATGACTCCCTACCCGTCAGCACAGGTATGGGTGTATCCTGGAAAGAGTGCCTTGCGGTGGTGACTCCCACCTGGAAGGCTTGGAGGCTTGCGACACCATGTCCGACTTGCCACAGAACGTCCAGTGCAGCAATCAGAGAGCTCTTGGCCTTAATGTTGTCTTTTACAAAGGGGGCAGTTCCTGGTCCTTGCCATCTGGCTGTTGAACTCTAGCCGTATGAGGGTCTGGAGTTGGGCACTGAGGAGAGCAGGGGTGCAGTCAGCCTCACTGGCCTCCCTGGAGCAGATGAGCATCCAGAAATCGGCTCATCACTCTCAACTCGACATAGAGGCAAAGCCAACAAACCTAAGAGGAACCCTTGTTGGTATGAAAGGAAAGTGGTCCTAATCTCCTCAAGGGAGCAGAATCCTATGCAGTCCCAGAACAAGGAGTGCTTGCTTTCCAGTTTTGCAACCAAGCATGGGAGTCCCGTTTGCCATCTACAGATGGGCAAGGATATCCCAAGCAAACCCGGGAGAAATGGGGCTGAACCCCAGGCAGGTTGTGGACCAGAAAGCCCTTGGCTTTCAGAAGCTGCCCGTCTTAGATGTGTGCAGTCAGATTAATGCAAGTGAAATCAACTATTCAGTGGCCTAGTTCTCCATACTTGGTGTTAACTAGGAGTCCGGGCTCTTCGTGTGTTACTTTTTCGATCAACTCTGCAACGCTTAACTGAGGATGCCCTGCAGATGATGATGGACTATGTAAGTCCCTTCAGCCCCAGCCAGAATGGCCAGTGGCCAGGTATTATGAGAGTTACAGTTGCAGGTTTGAAGGTCCCCAAGGTCCCCATTCCTTGAGTTAAAGGGATTCCTGCTGGCAGGTTAGGAAGGATCTTACGTTTGAGATTTTGGAGAGCTGCCATTCATCAGAGTGGATCGTACTGGGCTAGAGGGAATATGCTGGTTCAGCATAAATCCACTACATGAGTCAGCTTTAACAGAAGAGGGGTTACAGAGTGCTTACGAAACCGATGGTCACCTGGCACCCAGTAATCTAAACTATTTCAGATTTTGCAGGAGGGGCTTTGATAGGAATTGAATCGAATACTGCTCCCCAAACATGAATGAATGGCCTCACCCACAAGTTTGTCTTACCTACTTACTTAACATATGGTTTTTCTAAGGAAAGCATTCTCTCTGTACCCCCCCCCACCTTCATTGAAGCTGTGCTGTCAAAAAGCGACAGACTCCTTATAAGTAATCTCTCCTCTGACCTGCTTTCCCCTCCAGGACAACAAGGGCATAGTGAGCAGCCTGGGTGGCGCCCCAGGGGGCAGCAAACTGCCCGGTGCAGTGATGGTGCAGCCCACCTACATTCAAGATGAGCGACTGGCCCGGCCTCCACCTGTAGCCACCCCTTCGACTGTGGATATCAACAGACGGTGAGTCTCCCGCTGTTGTGTGTAGGGGGAAGACGAGTCGGTGGCTGCACAAACAAGGGCAGAGAAACGGGAGAGAGAGTGTTTGGTCGTCAGCGGGACCTCTTGCCATGCTTTATTTTAGCCTTTACTCATAGACCTCGGTTGAACAGAGCAGCTTCTTCAATGTGTCTGGGAAGTGGAGGCTTTGTCTGTATCTGTGTCGCATGCCCAAAGAAGGTGTGATTGTGTTGTGTTGTGGTGTCAGCACCATTGTCCTTTAAGTCCGAGGAGCACCCTCCCATGGGACAATCTTCAGGAACACGGGTGGGCAACTGCCAAGGATGGAGAGGCAACACAAGCCTGCCTCAGGCCTTGAGGGCTGTTCCCGGCCCCAAACACACACACATCCTTTTATATAATAAAATAAAGCCGCCACCCCCCTCCCCTCGGTGCCAACTCTAGTGGCCATGGAGGAGGGGACGGTTCCATCCGATCCTGGTTAGGGAGAAGCAGCTCCTCTGGCTCCTGAACCGATGAGGGGGGGGGGCTGGAAACAAGATGGCATGGCCTGCTGTGGCTGGGACTGCGGAGGGAACTTTTTAATTGAGTTCAGTTTTTAAAACTTGTTTTTGGAAGGCATGTGGTCTTGAAGGGGGACCTCCGGGTGCCGCAAGTTGCCTCCCTTGGCTTAAAAGAGATGTACAGAATTTGTCCAGATGTCACTTCAGTGGCGTTGGGTTTTTTAAAAATGCACATCGCCTTCTAGCAGCCTGTAGGCACAGATGCTGTGAGTCCTGATCTGTGTCCTCTCCTTTCTTTCTCCTTTCCTTCCTTCCTTCCTTCCTTCCTTTCCCTCCAGGCCATCCGTGGCAGCTGCACAGCCATTCTATCCTCGCGGTGTCTTCCAGGGCCAGTCCCCACAGCAGCAAATGTGGCAACAGCAGCAGCAGCAGCAGCAGCAAGCAGCGTCCATGCGTCTCCCTATTCCTTCGCGCTTCCCCCACCCGTCCACCCAAGACCTGAGCCGGCAAGCCCTGGGTGGCCTTGCCCCACGCCTGCCAGCTCCGGGGGAACCGCTTCAGCCTCCAGCCATCGCTCTGGGAGCCCAGTTCATCGAACTGCGGCACAACATCCAGAAGGGTGTGCTTGGGAGTGGAGCTGGGGTCCCTTTTGTCCAGCAGAATCCTCAAGCTCGACCAAGATTTTTCATGCCCGGGAACGATGGCCCCAACCAGGCTGCGAAGGCTTCTGTTCCTCCCCTGCAGGCTCCTGTCCTGGGAAACCAAGGCATGCAAACCCAGAAGATCTCTGTTTCCTCTTCCCCTCAGGGAGCAGACAGGAGCAACAGCCATCACCCCCAGGCCAAGGCCTCCTTGCCACAGTTGATTCTGCCCCCTGGCGGTTTGGAGATGCAACATATCCCACCCCGACCGCTCTCCTCCTCTGGCCCAAAAGATACATCCAACCCCCCATCTGCCATCGACCCTCCTCAGGCGGCTAGTAAGAACCAGCTGGGCCTGGCTACTAGGCCATTGCCTTGCGAGGTGCCCGTGGAGCCAGACCTTGAGGATGACTTTGATTCCCACAAGGATCTGGAGGACGATGATGACTTGGCCAACTTGAGCCTGGATCCAGATGTTGCTAAGGGCGATGATGATCTTGGTAACTTGGATAACCTGGAGACCAATGACCCGCACCTCGATGACTTGCTAAATGGTGATGAGTTTGACCTGTTGGCATACACAGACCCGGAACTGGACACTGGGGACAAGAAGGACATCTTCAATGAACATCTGAGGTTGGTAGAATCTGCCAACGAAAAGGCCGAACGTGAGGCTCTGCTCAAGAAAGAGCCCCCTGCTGGACCCTACCTCAAGGATACTCCTACCAGCGGCGTTGGCAAGCCAGGGGAGCAGAAGGCACCGCCTCTGCCTAAAGATGATGGGTCCAAAGCTAAAGAAGGGCTTGGCCTCCTCCATGTTCCCTGTTCATCCTCTTCAGGTGTCTCTTCATCATCCCCCATTCTTTCCACCTTCAAGGGCCAGAGTGATGGGCTGGACAGCAAGGCAGCTAGTTTGCCAGCTGACATCAAGCCTAAGATAGAGGAAGGCTGCCTCAAGTCAACTCCATGCCAGTTCAACATCGGTCTCTCAGAAAAGCCTCCTGTCAAATCCGAAGGCACCGAGAAAATGGTGGCTGCCTTAGCAGTCAACATCAAGCCCAGCCAGAACCTTGTGGGTCCTGGCGGGATGCGGCTTGGCATGACCCAGTTCCACAGTAATAGCCACACCTCCCTCTCGGATAAGGTCCTCTACGGCACCCCAGGCCGCCCTTCTCTCACTCCCGTCCAGATGACTAGCACCAGTAACTCTGTCCTGGAGAAGTTTGAGCTGGATGGAGGGCCCTTAAGCCTGGCTAATGCCCAGCAACATTCTCCAGCTGATGACCTGGACAAGATGGAGAGCTCCCTAGTAGCCAGTGAGCTGCCCCTCTTAATTGAAGATCTGCTGGAACATGAGAAGAAAGAGCTGCAGAAGAAACAGCAGATGTCTGCTCAGATGCCTGGGGGCTCTCAGCACCTCCAGTCTCAAACCATGTTGACTCATGCTGCTCCTCCATCTCAAACCCATGATGGACAGCTAGTGAATCAGCAGCAGCAGCAGCAGCAGCAGCTTCAGTTGGGCATGGTGGCTAGGCAGCAGGGTATGGTGTCCAACCAGCACCTAATGCAGCAGCAGCAGCAACAACAGCAACAACAGCGTCTGGCTGATGGCCAGCAAAGCCAAGTGCTAGCCCCACACATGGGAGTAACTCAGAGTCAGGCTCATATGCTTGCCAGCCAGCATGGCATCCCGACCACACACGGGCAACCAAACCAGCAGCAAATCTTAGTCCAGAAACCTATGCCTGGAGTTCAGCAGCCACAGCAGCAAATGATGGGACTTAAGCCTCAGCAAGTTGTGATGCAGCAGCAACAGCAGCAGCAGCAGCAGCAGTTGGCTAACAGCTTCTTCCCTGATACAGGTGGGAGCTCAGAGTTGTGATATTTTAATTCTAGGGCAACAAATGCAGTAAAGTTTTAAATGTAGCTTAAAGTTTTCCACTTTAATAGCTGGTACAGATTTAATCAGAGGGAGAAAATCAGGAAATTGGGGACTACTTCTGTGCTGGGGGAAATAGACGTGCTACATTTTTAAGTGAACATAGAATGTGGAAGAAGAAACTGTGATCTCAGGCGTTTTTCTTGAGTGCTTTCTATGCTTCAAACTGACAGACAGTTTGATATGCTTGAGATTTGAAACCTCACAAGGGCTACATTCATTTGGATCCACACGTGCATTACATAGACTCTTGTTTTAAATAGCGTTGCATGGTTTCATTCCTTCAAATAAAAGGCAGTGACCAAAAATCCTGTTGGGATCTTCTGTACATGCGACAGGTGCCCCATACATTGTGACAGCTAATTGGAGCTAGCTGAAGAGGTGCCCGTTCATGACACTCACGATCCTACCAATCATATACCCAGGCCACTTTGTCAGTTAGCAGCAGTGGTTTATGTGGTTCCCATTTGCCTACATAAAATCTCATTAGGATTTCAGACAGTGGGTTAGTTCCTCCATGAAATCTTGAACCAGTTCTGGTTATCAATTTAACCAAATTTCATCTGTGGCTGTCACCTGCCATACTAGGGGAACCATCCCATTAGGAACATCTGGTTCATAATGCTGGCTCATTACTTTCAAGGTGTGCCTGAGTTCTCTCTTTGATGATATATATACAGTGGTGCCTCGCTTAACGAGTGCACCGTTTAACGGCGAATCCGCATCGCGACGTGTGCTTTGCGATTGCTAATGCGATCGCATTGCGATGTTTTAATAGGCAAAACATCACATTGCGATGATCGGTAAGCATTTTGCTTACCGATCTTTGCATTGCGATGTTTTGGGAACAGCTGATCGGCGGTTCCAAAATGGCCGCCGGGTGCAGAAAATGGCCGCCCGCAGCGTTTTCGCACCCTGCCCTCGCTTACTGGGCGGCGAAAATGGCGGCCGGATGGAGGATTCCCCTCATAGCAGTGAGTTTTCCCCAATAGGAACGCATTAAACAGAGTTTAACGCGTTCCTATGGGGTTTTTCCCCCGCATAGCGACGAATCCGGATAGCGACGTTAATCCTGTAACGGATTAACGTCGCTATGTGGGGCATCACTGTACTACTTTCGTTTCAGACACTGAATTCTACAGTAGCAAATCTAAATACATGCCTATGTGTTCATGCTCGTGCCACTTGATGAGTATTTTGGTGAAATGCGCCTCTGAAGAGCGCCAATCCTGTAAAGGAGAGCCCACCCTTTTCTAATACCATGTCAGAGAACATGAAGGAGGCACTTCTAGCTTTATGATTGCTTGGTTTCTTGTGTCCTCCCCTGCACAGATCTGGATAAATTTGCCACAGAGGACATCATGGATCCCATTGCTAAGGCTAAGATGGTGGCGCTGAAGGGTATCAAGAAGGTCATGGCACAAGGCAGCATCGGGGTGGCTCCTGGCATGAACAGGTAAACACTGAACCGGAGGGCTGAGGTCGCCGTGTGGTGTAGTGCTAACATTTCTGGGTGGGTGGGTGTAAATATCTCTAAATCTTGCTAGAGAAGGTTCAAGTTTATTCCTGAGTACCCCTACCCTCATCACCATCGGAACTCAAGTTCTGTGTCTCTCCTGATTTCTGTCAGGAGGCAGGTGATGATCGTGCTTCTAGCCCTTCAAGTTACCGTAGCTGCTCTCATGGTAAAATAGAATGTTTAAATTAAATCTTAAATTATATTTGGTAGAAGGCGGATGGGGATAGAATAGTTGTAATTCTCTGGGATTGGTGGTGGAGTTGATGGGCTTTCACCTTTTCTTGCTCCACTGTGGTCCTGGCAGCTCTGCAGGGGAACACAGTGCTTTCTTTCTACCCTTCCTTCAATTCTTGATGATCCATATGACCTTTTCCTCCATTATACTTGTAACAGCAAATTCTTTGACTTCTGTTTTTGACTTGTCTTGGTGAAGCTCAGTAATTTTCCCCCCTTGTGTGGAGAGACTTGCTTTGTGATCTTCTTGAGTAGGGGTATGCAAGGCACAAAAAAAAAATCATATTTAATTTGATTCCCCCCCCCCCGGATGACTTCCGTTTTCTTTCATTCCTGTATTTTTTTAGCATGCCAGTCCTTTTGTTTAAAATGAAAGGGAAAATCCTCTTTTAGGTTATTTTATTTTGGGTTTCCCCGTTCATATTTCCTGGTATTCCATATTTCATCCAAATGGAGCCTAAAGAAACCTTATAAACTGCTTCAGAAAAGCAGAGAGGCAAGGCAACAAATCAGTCTACTCCAAAAGCAGGCAATAGTACACAGTCACAAAACCTACACCGTGGCCCACATGTTCTATGCACAGAAGGAAACAAAACCGTCCCCTCCACTAAAAAACCCCACCAAAATGTACACCTCTAACAGCAAATTTATCTAATAACAGTTGTAAAAAATAATGAAACAGTTTAAGCGCTCTCTCGCTCTCTCGCTCTCTCTCTCTCGCTCTCTCTCTCACACACACAACGCGCACGCACCCACACACACACACACACACACACACACACACACACACACACACCCACGCACACAGAGAGAGAGAGAGAGAGAGAGAGAGAGAGAGAGAGAGAGAGAGAGAGAGGAATAAATAGCAAAATAAAAACACACATAGCTCCCTATTCCAGAAACCAAGAAAAGTAAGTAAGCAAACAAGCAAATAAAGGCAAGAAATATAACCAAAACCTTCTGAAACCAAAATGACTGCTCTGAAACAGCAGCTGTTGTATGGGAAGATTCCCCCCAACCACCCTGAATTGATGCTCTCTCTTCTTGAGTCTAGCAGGCAGCAATAAAAGTAATAAAAATACATTGGGGGGGGGGAGAATCCCCTCAAAAATCATTTTAAAGGGACAGAAAAGAAAAGGATTCAAGATGGAGGCACAGAGTCAGGTGGACAGGTAGCACAACAAAATGGAGAGCATCGGAAGGAGATCAGTTAGCAGCACGCAGCAGTCCTACCCACAAGAATAATTGAAGTAAAAGAGCACTTCACACTGGATTCCAGGATCAATCCAGGTCCTTTTACATATTCAGAATTCCTCCCCCCCCCCGGTGTTCTGATTGGCGGCTCTGATTAACCCTCTCAGCACTGTTGGGGAGGGAAATATTAGGTGATTTGATGGACAAAGAGTGAAAGAAAGGTTAAAACAAAAGAAGGAGACATAAAGAACAAAAAACGTTCATGTACCCATCTTCCATTAATACAAATCATTCATTTTTAACGACCCCATTTTGAGGGTTAATGAGAGAAGACGAAAATGATGGGGGGGGGAGAACTTGTGTGTGTGTGTATGCGTGCTTTTTGTCTTTTATGTAAACATGGAAGGCTTGTTTCTAGTCCTCCTCAGTGCTTTTTTTCACTCACCCATTCATTCATTCATTCTCTGTCGGTCTCTTCTCCCTGTCTCCCCTTGCACCTTTCCTTCCATTTCAGGCAACAGGTTTCCTTGCTGGCTCAGAGGTTGTCTGGAGCAGCCTCTTCATCTGAAATGCAGAACCATATCCTGCCCGGTCCTGGAGGACAGGTGAGGAGTCTTTGGCTGGCTAGCTGGGAGTGGCGGCAAGACACCCAGTTTCCAACCACATATTGGTGGGCTTGGGAGAAAAGTTGATGGATTTGGGGTGGTTTTCTTGTGATAGATTTGCTTAGTGTTATGTGGCAAAGATGGGAGAGTGTGGGTGTGGAGATATAGTTGGTGGTGAGAGGAGTAGGGTGTGTGACATGGTAGGTATTCTGAATCTTTCAACTCCCTTGCAGGAACGGAGCACTGACCCAGCACAGGCTCGTCCAAACCCACCCACTTTTGCTCAAGGTGTCATCAGTAAGTAGCCAGCGGTCGAGGGTGGAGAGGGTTTACATCAGAGGGCTGCACCTTGCTTTCCCTGGGGCAATGCTCCCAGACAACTTCCTGCCCAGCTGTGCATTTGCATAATACAATTACGTACACATTTCTTAAAGTCTGCTTAATCTGGAATAAATACTGTCTCCACAGTTTCTCTGCTCATGTTGGCTGAAAGTGGAAGAAAATTCTATACTTGTTAGTGGTTTTTAACCAGTGCAAATTTGGAAAAAAGATGGGGAAAAAAAGATGCGTAGAGGGCAACTCACAAATTTTCTAAGTGGTGCTTAACGGTTGTCATCAAGGAGCGAGTCTGGGAAACAAATCTGTGGCAACCTGACAATAATGACATTGTCCAGGAGGAGGGAACCCTTGGCCCTCAGCCTACAGCAACACCCATCAGCCCTACCCGTCATGGCCAGTAATAGAGCATCATGGGAATTACAGTCCAGAGGTTCTGCACCTGTGCCTTAGTCCTGCATGTTCAAAAAGAGCAGTAGGTAGCACAGTAGTACGAACAGGTCAGGGGCAGACATGTAGCTTTCCTGTCCTTGCTGATGATAAAGGAGAAGAGAGATGGCAGTAGAGATGTAACATTTCTGAACATTTCCATTTTTTCCAGGAAAAAAAAAACATGCTTAGAAGTGTTTTCATTTTATATTTTTTATTATAAGACGTCTGGTGTTCTTTAGAGATGCAAAATTTCCAAAAATTCTCTTTTTTTCAGGAAAAAAAGTCTCCCCCCCCACATTTCCCCCCAGGAAAAAAATGGAAAATTTGGGCAATGTTACATCTCCAGGCAGGTGGCCTTGATGCATTTCCCTGTTGATGTTACCCTTTTGCTCCATGTCTGTATCCATGTTTACTGTGATCATACCACTGCCCTCAAAAAGTGCTTCCAAGGGCTATTCTGCACAGTCTCAGACATCCAGCAGGAGCCTGTGTACTTGGGGCCTTGATGCCAAAATAATCCAATGTATGTGTTATGATTTTATGCAGTCTGGAGTATTCAGTCTCAAGTGCAGGTGGCTTTTTCCCTTCTATGCTTAGCGTGAGGCAGAGGTGCAGGACGCCTCCTCCTCTCCCAAATCATCCCCTCCTTTTCTCATCCTCCTTGCTCAGATGAAGCTGATCAGCGTCAATATGAAGAGTGGCTCTTCCACACCCAGCAGCTCCTCCAGATGCAGCTGAAGGTGCTGGAGGAGCAGATTGGAGTGCATCGCAAATCCCGCAAGGCTCTGTGTGCTAAGCAGCGGACAGCTAAAAAGGCCGGCCGTGAATTCCCGGAGGCTGATGCAGAGAAACTAAAGCTGGTGACTGAGCAACAAAGCAAGATCCAGAAGCAGCTGGATCAGGTAATCCCCACCAGCAATTTTGGGTTTGCCTGGGTTTAGCATGCTGATCCAGAGCTTGGAAATGATCTGTAAAAAATTAATTTGTCCCATCTTCTGCCCACCCAGCGTCTGTTAAAATATTCTGCATTTAAAACTTTCAGACTTAATAATTTAATGGCAGTTATGTTACTGTTGAGCAATACAGTGGTGCCTCGCTTAGCGAGCGCACCGTACAACGACGAATCCGTATAGCGATCCCCTTTTTCGGGATCGCTATATGGAACCTTCGCTATATGAAATCTTCGCTAAGCGGGAAGTAAAAAGCCATTGGAACGCATTAAACTTCATTTAATGCGTTCCAAATCGGCCCTAAACTTCCCACTTAGAGAAGTTTCCTGGCCCCGGGCAGCCATTTTCGCGCCCTCCCCTCGCTTGCCGAGGGCACGAAAACACCGCGCGGGTCCGTTTTGAAGCCGCAAAACAGCTGTTTTGCGGCTTCAAAACGGCCGCGGACAACCCGAAATGGCCCCGCGCGGTGTTTTCGCGCCCTTGGCAAGCGAGGGGAGGGCGCGAAAACGCGCTGTTTTGCGGCTTCAAAACGACCCGAAATGGCCCCCCGCGGCGTTTTCGCGCCTTCAGCAAGCGAGGGGAGGGCGCGAAAATGGCTGCCCGGGGCCAGGAAACTTCTCTAAGTGGGAAGTTTAGGGCCGATTTGGAACGCATTAAATGAAGTTTAATGCGTTCCAATGGCTTTTTACTTCCCGCTTAGCGAAGATTTCGTATAGCGAAGGTTAATCCGGAACGGATTAACCTCACTATACGGGGCACCACTGTATATAATGATCATCATTACTTTAATTCATTAATGGCCCTTTATAGTAATCTGTTGTTTTTTAGACTCATGAATGAATGAGAAAACAAATTCTGTAGCATTAAAAAAAATACTTATAACGCTAACAAATTACTATTTTTTAAATAGCTTGATGTGAACAAGTCAGTATGAAAAGCTCTCAAAATTCTCCAAGAATTCCCTGAGCAGACTTCTTGGTATTCCAGCCCACAGACAGACGTCTACTTTTCACTTCACCTGGACTGAGGCCTACGCCAGGCCTCGCTTCCTAATTAAAAAGGACAGTGCCATGTTACTTCATGGGAGACCTAGGTCTGTTGTGGGAGATACAGTTTCTTATCAAATGGCCCTCTAGAGAGCCTAATGGGAAGCAAAAGTTCACATTCCATAAAGATCTAGGCCTCCCAGGAAGCACTAGGGCAGTGTCCTTTTTAAGCAGGAAGCAAGGCCTGAGGTAGGCCTCAGTTTGGGGAATAAAATGTTGACGTTTGTATCTGTGGGCTGGAACTCCCAAAATCCTGCCTTGGAAATTTTTGGATGAAGAGAAAAAAACTAAACAAAAACCCAAAAGGCACACCCCAGGAGTTCAAGATTAGATTGTAGGGCATAACAGCTTGTTGCCTGCTGTCCCAGGATAAATGAATACTTTGCAGCAGTTTACCTCTGACCCACTCTCCTTCCTCTTGTTCAGAATCTCTGCTTGTTTCTTTCTTTCTTTCTCCTTTCCTCTGCCTCTGACAGGTACGGAAACAGCAAAAGGAACATACCAACCTCATGGCCGAGTACCGCAACAAGCAGCAGCAGCACCAGCAGCAAACCTCCACGGTCCTGGCCCTGAGCCCCTCGCAAAGCCCCCGTCTCATGGCCAAGCTCCCCGGGCAGCTCCTTTCTGCCCATGGTCTTCAGCAGGGGCCGCAGGGCCTGCCAGGCCAGGCCGGGAGCTTGCGCCTCCCTCAGGCTGCCCCCATGGCAGTGCAACAGGGCTTACCATTCATGGGGCAGCAACAGCAGCAGGCCCCGCAACTGCAGCCGCCGCCACCATCTGGAGCAGCCACGCCCAACGCCTTCTTCTCCAGTAACCGTCTCTTGCAGGAGAGGCAGCTGCAGCAGCAAAGGCTGCAGCTGGCCCAGAAGCTGCAGCAACAGCAGCAGCAGCAGAACCTCATGGGACAAGTGTCAATGCAACAGCAGCAGCAGCACCACCCAAACCTCATGGGACAAATGACACTGCAACAGCAGAACCTCATGGGACAGATGTCAGGTCAGCAGCAGCACCTGCAGCAAAGCCTCGTGGGACAGGTGCCTGTGCAGCAGCAGCAGCAACAACAACAACAGCAGCAGCAACAGCAGCAGCAGCAGCAGCAGCAGCAGAACACTCTAGGCCAGGCCAGCTTGATGAGCCAGCCTCCCCCTCCGCCACCCACACCCCAGCCCAGCCAGAACCTGCTTCCTAAGCAGCAGGGGCTGCTGAACAGTCAGCCAGGAGTCATGGTCCAGCAGCTGTCTCCGCAGCAGCAGCAGCAGCAGCAGCAAGCCCTGCTGGGACATGCCGTGCTGCAACATCAGGGCATGATGGCTCACCCAGCTTCCCAGAGGCAAATGCTGTTGGCCCCCCAGCAACACAGAGCCCTGGGTTCTCCCCAGCAGCAGGCACATGGGATGATGGGACATCGGATTCTTTTGTCCCCACAGCAGCAGCAGCAGCAGCAACCAGGGTTGCTTGGCCAGCAGAGGACCATGCTGAGCCACCAGCAGCAAAGTTCCATAGCACAGCACCAGGCCCTCCTTGGCCAGGGGGCAGCCCCTCAGCAGGGAGGACCACTGGGCCCGGGGCCAGCCGCTCAACCGAGCGTCCTGGGCCAAGGGCAGGGACTGGCCAATCCAGAACCCATCCAGCACTTTGCACAGCACGGGTCTCTAAACCAGCCGCTGCACTTGAGTCAGGGAATTCAGCCGGGCCCCTCGCAGCAGGGCTTGGCTGTCAAGGAACAGCAGGGAGGACCAGAAGGCACCGCCGGGCTGCCTCAAGAAGGAACAGACAGTGTCCTGCAGCAGCAGCAGCAGCAGCAACAACAGCAGCAGCTCCGGCCCCATTTGGTGGGCCCAGAGTTGGGAGGGCAGGTGCAGATGGGGATGCAAGAGCAGCAGGGCATGCCCAGCCGTGGAACCCCTTTGCAAGACCAGACATCTCAGCCGATGCTGCAGCCTCATGGGGAGCAGCCAAAGCAGCCCAGTGAAATAGGCCATCAGGCCCAGCACCTTCTCCTGGGATCTCAGCAGCAGAATGCTTTGAACTCCCTGCAGCTACGGATGCAGCAGCAACAGCAAAACAGCCACCTCCAGCAGCCCCAGCGGCCACACCTTCCTATGGATGGCGTCCTGCAGCCAGAGATGTCGCAGCAGCAGCAGCAGCTGCTGCATCACCACCACCACCCGAGAGATGCCTCCCAGGCCTCCCACTTGCTCAACCAGCAGATGGAACAGCAGGGTCAAATGCAGAACATCATGATGCAGCAGCAGAGGATTATGGGTCAGAACCTGGAGCAGCCTTCCAAAGGCTTGCCGGGACAGCAGCAGCAGCAGCAGCGCCTCCAGAGCCCAGTTGGGCCCCCCAGAACACCAGGGATGATGGTGCCAGTGCAGCAGCAGCAGCAGCAGCAGCAGCAAAACATGATGGTCCAGCAGTCCTCCCCGCAAGGCCAAAGCATCCTGTCTAGCCCTGTGATGGGCCAGATCCGTGCCCAGCTTCAGGGCGTTATTTCCAAAAACCCACAGTTGCGGAACCTCACCCCTCAACAGCAGCAGCAACTGCAGGCTCTGCTGATGCAACGGCACCAGCAGAACCTCCTGCAACAACAGCAGCAGCAGCAGCAGAACCAAGCAATGCGGCAAGTCGGCCCCTACCTGGGACAGGTGCAGGCACAGGCCCCTCTCGACCAAGGTCAGCCAGCTGCTCCAATGCTTTCCCAGCCTGCCCCTGTGGGCCAGGAGCAGCAGCAGCAGCAGCAGCAGCAACAACAACAGCTGCCACCAAGGCAGTCTCCCCTTGCGGTGTTCCAAGTTCGTCCAGAACAGGGTTTTGCTACCTCTGTGGAACAGCAGAGGGTGCCACTGAGCCAGCAGGCAACAATCAGTCCCCTTCAACAAGGGCCACAAAGGCTTCCGATCCCTCAAGGTCCACCTGTGCCCGTGAGTGTTGCTGGTATGGGGCCGGTGCACCAGCAGCAGCAACCGCCGCCACCACTTAGCCCTTCAGAACCAAAGAGACCATCCCCTTTGCTTCTGGCCAGAAGCCCAGAGCAACAGCTGGCTCCCACCCAGAAACACCAGCCAGCTACCCCCAGTCCCTTGCTGCCCCCTGGCCCAAGCCTGGTTGCCTCGGGCACAGAGGATGTGGCTTCCAGCGCCTGTGGCCTCAGAGGCTCAGAAGGGCCTCCCACCAAAGAGTCCATGAAGCCGAGTGCTGTCAATGGGCAAGGGGTAGAGTCGGCTTCCTCCCCAGCAGGAAGGATCCTGCACCCACCAGGAGAGCTTCCCCTGGCTTGCATCAAGCAGGAACCCAAGGAAGAAACTGCTCAGTGTGCACTGATGAGCAGTGGCCAGCCGGTCAAGCGGGAAGCCAATGGGGATCCTGTATCAGCAGCAGCCACCATTCCTGCTGCCACTGCTGCGGCCGCTGCCACCAACAGTCTCACCCGCACCGAAGCCAGCCATCTCCTGCTACAGAAGTTGCTCAGGGCCAAGAACGTGACCTTGGCAATGCAGCGCTCGGGGGACGTCAACGGGCACATGGATGGCAAACTTGCTGGGGTTGAGGGCCGGCTGCAGGGAGCACCAGATGTGCGAGAGGTGAGTGTGAACAGACAGGAGACGGTGCCAGCAGAGGTGCAGTGATCTGTCTCGGGAATTTGGTATAGCACTTTTGATTGAGCTCAATTTCACTGTCTTGTTAGAAACTTTTCTAAGTGTATTTACCAAGTCCATGTATGAAAGCTTGCCTCTTGGCCAAACCCATAGGCATGGAATGCTTCTGTCCCTCGTGAGGGTGTGCCCCCCTGCTCCCAGAAGGGAAGGGTGGGTAACGGTTGGTCCTCCAGATTTTTTGGACTGCATTTCCCATCAGCTCCAGCAAGTGAAGCCAGTGTTGAGGGTGATGGGAGTGGCCGTCCAGTAACATCTAAAAGATCAGGTGTTTCTGCCGCCACTCTCAGAAGAGGGTTGTCTTACCTAGAGCAGAACAGTTTGGCCTCTGGCCCTTCCCCTGCATTTTCAAGTGCTGCCAGCTCAAAGGCCAGGCTGGGGGGGGTGTTCTGTGGGCTGCACTAATGTCTCCCAGATGTAAGTCACAGGATGTGCCATAATGATTTTTTTTCAGTTCTCCATTCTGGTAGTTTCACCTAATGGACACATAACTACCTACCAACACCTAAATAACAACAACAAAAAAAAACCCACACAAAAAAAAACAGATTTTTTTTTCCTAAAAGATGTGGAGGAGCATACCTTGTTTTAGATGGTGATTACTGTATGTCAGGTAGACATGTTAAAAATGAGCTGGGTTTTTGGGGTATTTCCATCCCTTCTGGGAGTCTTTGGTTGGCCCTTTTCAAAATCTCAAATTTTGTGTCTTTAGTTCTTCGTCGCCTCTGAATGCACACTAATGAGTTAAATCTGTGCATGCACAGAGGCCTCGGTACATTCTAGAACAAGGTAAAGTAACCATTTTAGCCCCTCCCCCAAGCCCTCATGGTCCACCCGCCCTAACAGTTACCTCAGTTTTTATTTTTCTGCTGCTGTAAGAGGTCTCATTCCTTAGAGCTCCTTCACATTCTGTAAACGCAAGTAGAACAATCGTTTTTTGAGCACATCAATCCAGTCCCTTCTCCTGGCCTCTTCTGTCCTTCCGGTTCGCAGGTGTTGGGCCTGCTCCATCTGTATCCCTTTTCTGAAGGACAGTTGGTATCCTTTCCCAGCCTCTTGCATGTTCTCCTTTGTGGTCTCTGTGAATACACACTAATGGGTTAATCTGCGCTCCAGCAGAGCAGCCTGGAAACTTCCACAGCTTTAAGCACTTGGTGCCAGGACCTCCCCTACACCTGGCTAGATAACTCCACCCCCGGACCTAGCCCTCAGTTCTCTTTTCCACCGCCACTGTAGTAGCAGCTCTGTTCAGAACTTGGCAAGTAAAAACAAATTCTTATCTTTCTTTGACCTCCCTTGTTCTTTCTTCTAAATAACAAGTTGTTTCTTCTGCCTGGGGGAAGAGCACCAGCCGGCATTAGTTGTTCTTTGTTACAAAGCCTTTACAAAACTGGCTTTAGAGCCTCAGGGCCTTTTCTCTTAAAGACATAAGGTCTCTTTTATCTTCTTAGCAAGGTTACCCCCAGGCTCAAGAGCAGCAGCTTTCTACCTGTTTGCAGTCTTCCTCTTTCTATTAAAAAGAAGAGGATAGCATCTGAACTTTGCCCTTGGAGAAGAAAGGGCCTCCTGCAGCGCTGACCGCCTTCCCCGCCTGTCAGTGATTCTTCTGACATAGGGTAAAGCCTCTGTGTGAGGTTGGCGCAGAACAGTCTGTTTCCCTGTTGTTCAACTGAGGCCAATGGGATGTGACTAGACCCTCCTGCTCCCAGAAGGGATGAATGATATTCTCTTATTTTGCACATCTCCTCGCAATGTTTGTGCTCCTGAATGATCCCTGTTTTTTGCTTGCTTGTTAGAAATTGGTCCTTGAGTTTCTGTCAAGCTTTTCCTTCCCACCCCCTGCTTTCTTTCACTGTCCCAGGCTGCTTCCGGGACCAAGAGCTGAATCTCAAATGACTCTGCCATATGCATTGTCTTTCCTGTCCTTGTTCATTTTCACCCCCACTACCACCCCCACTCCCAAAAGCAAGGAGTCCTTCTAATCTCCTCTTCATATACACTGATGATACACCAGAAGGCCTAGGCTTGGGAAGTTTCTGGGATCTGTCCTGCAAAAACAGTAACTTGGCAGACTCTCTTCTATACTGTGCAACATCAAGGGGAATAAAGTTGTCTAATGTGTTCTCACATCAATTAAAATGAGGTGAAAGAGAATGTGTGTATGTATACACATGTGTGTGTGCTCGAGTTTCATAGATACTGTGGTAAAGTATTATAGGTAAAAACAAAAAGTTAAAAAGAAGATGACAAAAACGTGGCGGCACCTTAAAGACTAACTTTTGAATTTTTTTAATGTGAGCTTTTGTAGACATGTAGTATGACTAATATTTATACATGGCATTAAGATATAGATCTCAAAATACAGAGATCATGGTTGGCTGGTAAGAAAGTCAGCGGGCGTATAACATTGGGATGACAGTGTCTCTGAGACACAAAACTTTCCTAGAAGCTTGTGCAGTGAACTAGCACACCAAGGGGAGACATTCCGCATACAGAAGTCTAATTCTGCCACTTCTAGGTAGAAGATTGGCTCAGGTTTGGTCCTAGCTTCCCGGAACTTGGGTACTTCCAAAAAAGAGCTTTTATTGGAGGCCCCTCCTGGTGTGCCAAGGAGTAGGAACTCATTTGCATTTCTTTTTGTGTCTTTTCCCCTTTCCCCCTCTTTTTATATATATTTGGGGGAGCATAGCAGGAGACGCTGGTGTCCAAGAAACCCCCTCCGCCCAAACCTAAGCGGACTCAGAAAGCTGGGGAGCGACTCGCCAACTCCCGGAAGAAGCTGCGCAAGGAGGAAGGAGTGAAGTCCAACGAGGCCCTCATGAAACAACTGAAGCAGGTACTCATTTGCTTTACAAGCTCCTGTGGAAGGAAGAGGGAGTGGTTTGAAAGGCGTGCAGAAATCTGATTAAGTGCCCCTTCTGTTTTCCTCTGGAGCCAGAAAGAAGGCAAGAAAGGACAACAGCCTTCCATTACGAGAAGGAAGGGCCAGGGAGACTGCTCCAGATTACAGCTTAGAACAGCGTGTTTTCCTGTCTGTGAGGAAGGAAAAGTTTCACTCTGGAGCAGGTTGACTCTCTTTGCTGCCACAGCTAGGCAGTGGCCCTGGGACTGAAAAAGACTTGACTACTCCAGGTCTTTGTACACCCAAAGCCCAGGACAGGTTTTTCCAATCTTTCGGGGGCCCTGTCCTGCCTTAGAGTAATCTCAGAGCTTGGAAATGTTAATTTATTGGACTACAGCTCCCAGAATTCCCTCAGCAAGCATGGTCCCTGCTGCCCTCTCTGTGGGCTTCTGGGAATGATCATGTGAAAAGTTTTTTTTAAAAAAAAATTACGTTCTGAGTGGGAAGTGGAAGCTAGTAAGCCAGTAAGCCTTCTCAAGCGCATTGTGCAGGTGAAGCTCAAAGCAAAACACATTCCCCTAAAATAGTAGCTCCCAACCGTGGGTCCCCAGATGTTCCTGGACTGCAGCTTCTAGAAATCCTGGCCAGCACAGCTAGTGCCGGAGGCTGCTGGGAATTTTAATTCAAGAAATTTTGGGGACCCAAAGTTGGAAACCCCTGCCCGAAGAGATGCTAGCTTCCAAAGATTCCTCTGTTTTGATTCGTTTCTCTTTCCCTCCGTCCCCAACAATCCCGGCAGGAGCTCTCTTTGCTACCTCTGATGGAGCCCGTCATCACCGCCAATTTCAACCTTTTCCCCCCCTTTGGGAGCAGCCCTGTCAATGGCAAGAGCCAGCTGAAGGGCTCCTTTGGCAATGCTGCCTTGGACAGTATTCCAGATTACTACTCCCAGCTGCTTACCAAGGTAAGGCCAGCCCTGGACTGCTTTGTGCATGCTTGGTGATACATCTGGGGTGGGCAGGCGTTGGCCTGGTAGTTGATTTGCAAGGGCACCTTGGAGGAGATAGTAGAGTAGCTGGTGGGGAAAAAAAAACATGTACTATTCTAGTACATGTTTGGTGACAATAAATTTCAAAGAACGTATCTTACTGCTGGGCAGAGAAGAGTTTCTTTTCTTTTTCTTTTTTTATAAATTGATGAAGAAAGCTGAAGGTGGAAGCTCTCTGCATCTGGTCCTGCTTGTGGCTCTTTTTAGTGGCCCACTGTTTTACAGGGTGTGCAAATGCCATGCAAGTTGGTTATAGCTACAACTATCCATACTGAACTGTTGGAAGGTCTGAGCGCTTGTCATGACTGTTACTCCTTCCTAGAATGCTGTTGTGTCTTTAGACCTGCGCAGTGGTGCCTCTGTATATGTGTGGGTATTTGTGTGTGGGATTTGCATACATGCAGAGGTGGGCCCTCAGGGCTGGACATCACATCAGGGTTGCTGAGCCCTTGTCCCTGTGGTTTATGTGCTGCACAGAGCACTCCGATTCATCTGATTTTCATCAGCACTAGCGCTGCTCAGCCCACTTTCTGCTGTTTGGTCCTCATGCTATCAGTGTGTGATTCTCTGCCTGTGTCCAGCTTTGAAAGCCCTGCCCATTTCAAGCTGCATCTTCATTGCTCCAGTGCAGAGCAAGAGAACCTCCCGTTTTGGGGTTGATCTGACCTGCTGAGGTTACCCATTTGGCCAAGCATGGCTCAGTGGAGAAGCCACATCCCACGCTGTAAATCCTGCCCCATTCCTAAGCCACCCAAACATTGTTTGTCCTCCCTCAGTGATGGGGAACTTCCCGCAGGCATCCACAGTCCTTCTGAGAAGGTTAGAAGATCTCCGGGGTTTCCAGCTGTTATCACCTATCGTTGATGGAAAATAGAAGTAGGAATTCTCTCTCTCTTTCTCTCTCTCTCTCTCACACACACACACACACCCATCCACACACACACACACACAGAGAGAGAGAGAGAGAGAGAGAGAGAGAGAGACCGACCACTTGACACACACACACACCCCACTTGTGCTCCCACCTGGAAAGGTGATCAGAGATAACAGTGGAGATGCGTTTTACTCCAAATCCTCCCCAAAGAGAGAAGATGCCAGGTGTGTAAGGCCTCCTAGATAAAAGAACCAGCTTCAGGGTGACCTTGCAACAGGCGCCTGATATGGAGGGACTGTGTGCAACTCGTGCCTTCCCCCTTGGTAAAGGGATGCAAGTCATGCCTCTGACGGGAAAAATATGGCCACCCCCCTCTGCGGTCATGCAACCTGCCCAAAAGCTGTGCCCCACAGTGCATATAGAGGTTTTCACGAAGATCTTGTTGGCAACCAGTGGAGCACATCACGCTTGGACTTCAGATAAAGAAGTGGGTTGTGAAGTGAGCCAAATAGCTGACACCCTTTATTTCAGCAAAATGGTACCCTTTTTAAAAAAAAGCTTGATAGATTTATATTCTGCATTTAATTTGCAAATGTCTAATATGAAAAGATAGCAATAGTGTCAAAATAGGTACATACAATTATCAACTAAAAAATGGGAGAGAAAGACTAGCAGGTACAATTGTGCGAGATATACTGCAATCCGTATCAGTCTAAAAAACTTGGGGGAATAAACATGTCTTTGCACCCAGCCCCCAAAGGACCCCAAAGCAGTTCCTGGGCAAGGCAGGTGAAGGAGAGGGCTCCCTAGTAGACAACCAACCCAGTGACCGCTGCTGATGGGTGAGGGTGGTATTAGAAGTCTGAGATTTGTTCTGTGATAGGAACATTACCTGGGCACACACAATCACACAATATATTCTGTGGAAGCGGCACGTGGCAGGGCAATGGTTTAACGTGTCTCTCAAGGTTTGGAGAAAGACAGTTGGGTCATGGGCCATAGGGGAATACTGACTCCTCCAATCTCCTCCTAGAGCAACTTGAGCAACCCACCAACACCACCTTCTTCACTGCCCCCCACACCACCTCCCTCTGTGCAGCAAAAGCTGGTGAATGGAGTCCTGTCTTCTGAGGAACTCACTGAGCAGCCCAAGGAGCCTGTCCTGTCCCGTGAGCCTGAAGGGCAAAAAGGTAAGGCCTGTTGGCTCTAGGAGGCCCTGGAAGTGCCTGGAGCATGTGGAAGCTCTGCCTGCCTGCCTGCCTGCCTATCTCCACCTGATTCATTTCAGGATAGGAAACTCCTAGAACTCCTTGAAAAGGAATCTGAAAGACAGGCTGACTTGGGATAGCGGTGAAAGTCTAGGTGCTGTTCCGAGGGGAAATTGGTGAATGATACTCCTTGGCACAGCAGAGTTGAAGGGGAAGGGAATGTAGGAAGAGGGGTGCCAAGGCTGGAGAATCCTTTCTTTAGACCTATATGCCACCCTCTTTTCAGTGAAAGAAAACTTGTTGCTTTGCTTCTCTCCTCACTTGATCCTCTCCACAATAGTGTGGGGCCATTCTGGATCAGAGTGACTGACCTAAAGTTGTACAGTGAATTTCACAGTTCATTGGGGACTTAAACCTGGGTTTCCAAGTCTCAGCACTGCAAAGACTATACCGACCCCCGCAGGTTTGTAAATGAAAACCATTGGTGCATGCTGGGCAATTGCAAAAACTAAATAACTTTACTAAAATAACTTTTTTTCATGTGTCATCAAGCCAGTTCTGACTTCTGGTGACCCTTTTCAGAGTGTTCCGGGCCAAGAGTCCTCAGAAGTGGTTGGCCATTCCCTTCTTCTAGGGGCCATCCTGGGGTTGTGTAGCTTGCCCCCACACAGACCAGCCCTTCTCCCAAGAGTCACAATGGAGAATCAAAGTCCCAACCTCTGCCTCCGTAGCCAGATACCTAAACCATTGAACTATCCAGCCAGCTACTTAATAAACATGCTTATGTAAATTATAAAGCTAAGGACAGGGAATAACTTATGTTGTGTGGGGCATGTGAAAACATGTAGCATAGTAAAGGAAGGTGAAAAGACGTCTGATCCAAATTCACTTTGCAAAGATAGACCAATATTTAGCATTTTTTTAAAAAAAAAAGCCCTCAATGAGAATATGCAACAGATAGTTTTTCTTTTAAAACAACACACTTTTGCTTTGTAGATGCTCCCCCTGTGGAAGTGAAAAGTTTAGACCTCCTGGCAGCTTTGCCGACACCGCCACACAACCAGACTGAGGATGTCAGGTAAGAAAGAAGACTTGACAGAATAGAGGCCCAAAACAGAGGCTGGAAGAGGAAACTGGCTTAGCCGTGCAGTATCCCAAACTCTTTCATCACATGGAGGCAATAGATTGAATGGTTGACGTTGTGGCAGAGGGAAGCTTCCTCCTGGATGCGGGCCATCAGGCATCGGTGATTTCTTTGCAGAATGGAGAGCGACGAGGAGAGTGACTCCCCCGACAGCATCGTCCCAGCGTCATCCCCTGAGAGCATCCTGGGCGAAGAGGTGCCGCGTTTTCCCCTGCTGGCTGGAGCCAAGTCCGAGGTGGAGGAGTGCCCACTGTCTCCCGTCATACCCATCATTCCCAAGGCCAGCATCCCAGGTTGGTGAGGGGTTGAAAGGACAGGGTTGGAGCGGGAGAGCCCAGCAGGAAGGCAGTGTGTCCAGGATGGGGGGGTTGGAATAGGATCACTCACGTGTGCTAGTGGCTTCAAACGGCAGTCTGCCAAGGCACTGCTGGTACAACACAGCAAGCTATAAAAGGTAGGTGGTGGCTGGGCAGCTCGTCCCTTCTTGAAGCATCTTGAAGGGCTAGTCTCTTTGCTCTGTTTCTGATTCCCATCTTTCCTCCTCTCTCCTCTTGCTCCTCAGCCTTTCCAGATGCCAAGCCCTATGAGACCTCAGAGCAGGCAGGAAAAGGGGCGGCAAGTACTTCCTGGGACAAAGCCAAGGGAAGTGAGGTCTCCGTCATGCTCACAGTGTCTGCCGCCGCTGCCAAGGTACGGAGGTGCTTAGTTGGAGAGTGGTGCCCCGTAGCCTTCTCTGAGGCAGTGAAGCCCTCCTCCTACGGCTGACAGTGGGTTTCCTGCATGTTGTGTATCGTTTCTGTGAAGGTGCCAGTACAGAACGTTTCTCGATGTGTCCAGGGAGACCTTTTTGGACACCAAGGTGGAGCACCAGATAAACAGTCTTGTGTCACGTTCCCGCGAGTTACAACAGCAGAGTCCGACAAGTCAGTCCTATGTCAGAAACTCAGAGAATGCAGAGCCGATATCCAAATACCAAAGCCAAATCACACAGTGTAGTCCAGGGTCAGAGTCCAAAGCCAAATCGCACAACGTAGTCCAGGGTCAGAGTCCAAAGCCAAGGGTCCAAAGAAGAAGATTCAAGGTAGTCAGGAGCGTGGATGCAAGCCAGAGTTTGACTTGTTGCTTCCATGGACTTTCAGCCGTCTGAGATCTGTTTATATAGTAAAAACAGTCCTTGAACTGCTGGAAGCCTTTTCATCCTATCAGTACTCAGGGCGAGTTGATCGGATGTTTCTGGGGGCAGCCTTCAAGCGATCCTCTGACCTTTTTGTCATAAGTCTTCCCTGAAGCCTGGCCCTCAGCCGATCTACTGGGGGAGGAGAATCTGGAGGCGATTCAGCTGTTTGTATTTCTAATTGCTCAGCATTCTCCTCAGCTACAGTTAACCCCTCAGGTTCCGGATCTTCGGCTGTACTCATGCCATCTTGCTTGGTTTCCCAGTATCCAGAGAGAAGTGGTGAATTTGGCTTCAATGCTTCAAAGTGCTCTAGTGCAGTGGTCCCCAACCTTGGGCCTCCATGTGTTCTTGGACTACAACCTCCAGAAGCCTTCACCACCACCTCTGTTGGCCAGGATTTCTGGAAGTTGAAGTCCAAGAACATCTGGAAGCCCAAGGTTGGAGACCACTGCTCTAGTGAACTTACCCATGCCAGTTTCTGACCTGATGGTTAAAGCATCCTTGTGCATCCTTGTGTGCAAGTAGCCACTGAGACATCCAGTGTGACGTGGGGGGCAGGCGGGCTGTGCCTTTCTTGTCTCTTTACATCTCTCCTCCTGCTGTGTGTTAAAGTCGTGGTTCTCAATCTTGGGTCTGCCAGGTGTTCTTGGACTGCAGTTCCCAGAAGCCTTCACCACCAGCTGGGCTGCTCAGGGTTTCTGGGTGTTGCAGTCCCAAAACACCTGGGTCATCCTAGGTTGGGAACCCACTGCTTTAAAATGAATGGCTGGTGAACTCTCAGAGTTCAGGGAGGGAGCCCTGAAAAGAGGCCGGTGGCACACCACAGCAGGTTGTCTGAGGACGAGAGAACACGTCTGAGTGGGAATTTAGTCACCAGCCAAAAAAGTGGCAGGCAACAACTGAGCAAGCAGGCAATTTCTGCTCCTGCAGAACATAAGAACACATACCTTTAAGCTTTTGGCCAGAGGGAGGGAACATATCTTTCTTTCTCCTTTCCCTGAACCCAGCCCTCCAAGGTTTAAAGGTAGGTACCTTGAAGGAGCTGCCTGTAACAGACAGTGGCCCATCTTGGGTGGAGGAATATTTGCCATATGCAGGGGAAGAGTGTGGTTTGGCAACTTGACCCAGAGCAGCAACATCTGTGCACAAAACTGTCTCTTACTTCACAGGTAGATACAGTGGTACTTCAATTAGCGATGTTAATCCGTTCCGGAAAAAACATTGCTAAGTGAATTAATCGCTAAGTGATATTAAAAAGCCCATAGGAACGTATTAAAACGCGTTTAATACGTTCCTATGGGCTAAAAACCTACCTTAAAGCAAAATTCCTCCATAGTGGTGGCCATTTTGGGTGCCTCTAAAGCGAGGCAAAACAGCAGCAGCCATTTTGTTTTTGTGGCGGCCATTTTGGAACCGCCGATCAGCTGTTTAAAAAAAGTTCACTTTGCCATGATCGCTTCCCCGCAATCATCGCAAAGCGAATTTTGACCATAGGGGACATCGCTAAGCGATCGTTCCAGCGATGGCCAAAAGTCCATCGCAAAGCGATATCATCGCTCAATGGAGCGATCGCTAAGCGAGGCACCACTGTATAAAATTGTAGGAATCATTTGGTATCAGTCTGAGCTCCTTCAGAATGTGGGAGTTGGGGTTGATTGGTTTCACTTGCCTTGGGTGTAAATGCATGTGGGGTTTTTTGTTGTTTTGTTGTTGTTTGTTTGTTTTAATTTTTAACATTGCTATTTTATAGCTGTTACTTAGTCACCTTAAGCATCATTTGGTGGAAAATAAAGGGGTAAAAGATAAATAATTGTGAGCGTAATCTTCTGAACAATTGTGTCTCAGCTCTAGTGGGTGATGCAGCCTGTATTGACATCAAGGAAGAATGAGGATGAGAGCAGGAAAAGCTGCTGAATAATCCTGTGTGCATTACAGACACCATATCTTCTCTTTTTGTACTAGATTGGAATAGGATTCTGTGTTGAGAGCCTTTTGTAAAATGTGCGGAGAATGTCTAGATCGGTGCTTCCCAACTTTGGGTCCCCAGATGTTTTTGATCTAGAGCTCCCAAAAGTCTTCACCACTAGCTGTGCTGACCAGGATTTCTGAGACTTTTTAGTCCTAGAATATCTGGGGACCCAAGTTTGGGAACCGCTGCTCTAGGGGCTATAATGGAAGATAGGAAAAAGTACTGTATTTTTCCGTGTATAAGATGATACTTTTGTCTAAAATATTTAGATTAAAAATCGGGGGTCATCTTATACATGGAAGGAGGGGGGATTAAGCACTTTGATCCCTGCTTTACCCCTCCATTTTCTTGCGAAGAAAATGGAGGGCGAAAGCAGGAATCAAAATGTTTTGATGATTCCTGCTTTCCCCCTGCACCTTTTTTGAAGAAACTGGAGAGGGAATGCACTTTCCTCACAAGAAAGTGGAGGGGGAAAGCAGGAATCAAAGCACTTTGATCCCTGCCTTCCCCCTCCGCTTTCTTTCAAATAAAGAAATTTTGGGTTAGAAAAGGGGGAGTTGTATACATGGGGGTATCTTATACATGGAAAGATGCGGTAAATAAATGTGACAGATGAAGAACTGCTGGCCTGTCCATTTTCTCTTCCCGGAGTTGATGGCAGCTCAGCAGCATTCTGAGATGGTTTGTGCCACAGAGGGTTGTGGTTTCCTGATAGAGCTTTTGTGGGGCTTTGTAAAATCCCCACCAAATTCTTTGTTGAATCACCTGCCCATTGTTCTTTCTTAACCCTTCCCATCTTCTCCAGAACCTGAATGGTGTCATGGTGGCTGTTGCTGAATTGTTGAGCATGAAGATCCCCAGTTCTTATGAAGTGCTGTTTCCAGACAGCCCAATGCGGGGTGCCACCAGTGAGCCCAGAAAAGGTGATGCGGACACACAGGGTGAGTATCCTGACCTGACTACGAAAAGCTTGGAAAAGTTTGTGTCTGGAGGGTGTGTTTTTCAGGGGAGGACTGCAACTCTTGGAAACCCCAGTGACTCTGGTGACTGGGGAATTTGGGCATTGTAAGCCAAAAAAATACTTTCTCCAAGATCCAGATGCTCTACCTTTGATGGAGTGGTCCCTGTTCATTTTTATTTTTTTCCCCCCAGGCAAAGAGAAGTCAGTGAATCCAAAGGGCCCAGAAGGTGGTCCAGAGTGGCTAAAGCAATTTGATGCCATGTTGCCTGGCTACAGTCTCAAGAATGAGCTGGACATCTTGACCTTGCTCAAACAGGTGGAGGAGGGGTGGGGCCTTTTCCAGAATGTTTTTCTCCCAATTTGTCATGATTTAGGTCACATTCTTCTTTCAGAGTCTTCCATCTGTAAAACTTCTGTTTTTCTACTGACCAAGCAAGAATGTTCAATCCATAGATGTAACAGGTGTAGGAGCCGGAGCAGCATCCATCGATCAGACAAAAGAGGATATTCTAATTCCTCATTCTGTTTTTTTCTCCAACCATGTATCTCACACTGACAAAAGTATTTCTAAGTAGTTTATGTGGGTTTCTTTTTCTGTACTGAATTAAGTGTGTCCAAAAGCAAAGGAGACAGCAAGGCACTCCGTAATGCATCTGAGAAAGGCCTCAGTAGTGTTCCAAGCTCCTGTTCTGTGTATGAGGGCATCCATGAGCAATCACCCCATTACCTGTAATTTAACCAGCCCCAGTGAAAATTTAAAGTACTGCCTATATTATAAACAGGTACAAGCAGATAGACAGGTGTACTGGAGCGGCACTTTGCTAGATCCCTAAACTTTATGGATGGTAGCAGGATCTAATGCCGGGCGTGTTTATTAGACTGTGTAGTTCTTCGTGGTATCTGTGATTTACACCAGTGGGTTGTTCTGCGTTTGCACAGATGTCCCCAGAATCTTCCAGAGTCTAGAAAGCTGTTAGCCCGACGCAAACACCCAGTGCATGCTCCTTCACTCGATGGTTGATTCTCAGTTCCATTTTGACTGCTACTCAAGCAGCAACTCAACTGTTGTCCAGAGCTTACTTACCAAGTTCACATACAATAAGTAGCCCTTTCTTTTCCCTCCTAACCCCACCAGTGTTTCTTCTTAAGGTCAAAGCAACAACAACAACAACAAAAACATAGATTTTTTTTGTTCCACAATTTCAAAAATAGTTTGTTCATTGTTGTTTCATTCCCAGCTTTTATGGCCTCTACGGCCTGGTTCAAAAAGTGCAACACCTGCAAAAATAAGATCTCTGTAACTAACACTCTTAAGTGCCTCTATGGTGTGGCAAAAGGACATCAGATGCAGTCCTGCCAGATTTGCAAACATTTTACAGAAGTTACCATAAAGAACGTTGTTACTCCTCTTTCTTACAGTTCTTCAGTGATCAGGTGGCTCTTGCAACAGATGTGCCTTTTCTCCCTCAAGCTGCGACAGACTTTCATATTGGTCAGTCTCGGGTGTTGGCAACTTTCTTTCTGTCCCCACGACAGACTTGGAAAGATCTCTATATTCACTAGATGACTGTACAGCTCTAGCGTTGTACGTGAACAGGGCAAAGGTTTTCCAGAAAACTACCAAGCTGTTTGTCTGCTGTCAAGGGGAATTATGTATCCTCTCAAAGAATATCCAGGTGTTTGGGTGGAGGAGCATACACTGGGTGTTGGGGGGGGCTAACAGTTTCCTAGGCTCTGGGAGATTCTGAGAACATCTGTGCAGGTGCAGAACAACCCATTTGTGTGATTTTACAGATGACCACTCAAAGAACTACAGCTGCTGATAAGCAACCTGTCCTTTCAGGCATTCTTTCCTTCTGAACTAAGGCTGCAATCCCTTTTCAAAATCTTTCTCATTCTCGTTCTTTCCTTCCGTTGCAGGAGAGTCCAGCTCCAGAAAAGACTGCTCAACACTGCTATGTGAACAATGTTGCTAATCTGGATGTCCGGCAGCTCTTGACGCTCCCTGAAGAGCCCTCCCCACCCCTTTCCCCCTTTGCACCCTCCCCACCCAGTCCCCCCAGGGTTCCTGAGCCAGTACCTGAACCAGAAGCCCCTCCACCTCCGCCTGCTCCATCTCCCGCGCCCCCTTCCCCCAAGGAGGAGGAGGCGGCTCCCCAGTCTCCCCCCAAAGCCAAGCCACGCTCCCGCCCCCTGGAGGACATGGAGGAAAACAAACCGCGGCTGAAGAAGTGGAAGGGGGTGCGCTGGAAACGGCTGCGCTTCCTCATCACCATCCAGAAAGGTGGCGCCAAGCGCGATGGGGAACGAGAGATTGCGGAGTTCATCGACCACCTGGCCACCACCCTCCGCCCCGAGAAAGTGCCACGCGACTTGCGGAAATGCTGCTTCTGCCATGAGGAGGGGGACGGGGCCACGGACGGCCCAGCCCGCCTCCTGAATCTGGACCTGGATCTGTGGGTCCACCTCAACTGTGCCCTCTGGTCCACCGAGGTGTATGAGACCCAGGGCGGGGCCCTCATCAACGTGGAGGTGGCCCTGCATCGGGGCCTCCTCACCAAATGCTCGCTGTGCCAGAAGACGGGGGCCACCAACAGCTGCAACCGTATCCGTTGCCCCAACGTCTACCACTTTGCCTGCGCCATCCGGGCGAAGTGCATGTTCTTCAAGGACAAGACCATGCTGTGCCCGCTGCACAAGCTCAAGGGCCCCTGCGACCAGGAGCTCAGCTCCTTCACGGTCTTCCGGCGGGTCTACATCGAGCGGGACGAGGTCAAGCAGATCGCCAGCATCATCCAGCGCGGGGAGCGCCTCCACATGTTCCGGGTAGGGGGCCTTGTCTTCCACGCCATTGGGCAGCTCCTGCCCCACCAGATGGCAGACTTCCACAGTGCCACGGCCCTCTACCCTGTGGGCTACGAGGCCACCCGCATCTATTGGAGCCTGCGGACCAACAACCGGCGCTGCTGCTACCGCTGCACCATCTGCGAGAACAATGGCCGGCCGGAGTTTGTGGTGCAGGTCATGGAGCAGGGCTTGGAGGACTTGGTCTTCACAGACTCCTCACCACAGGGTAGGGGCCCGCTTGGGTATGGGGCCTCCCTCCCTCCCTCCTGGGGCTCTCTCAGTGGTTGGATTTTCCAAACAGCTAACTAGGATCTCTTTCCCCTCTTAGTGTCTAGGAGTCTTTCTGTTGAATGAGGCAATAAGGGAGGGAGGGGGAGGGAGGGAGGGAGGCAGTTCCTCTGCATATACAGTACCTGCAATAAGTAATGCAAAGTATGAAGTGTTGTTGTGAGAGCAGAGCAATTTTCTGTGCCTTGTGTCCGATTCTGCCAAGGAAGGCTGGGGAACCTGTGGCCCTCCCAGTGTTGATGAACTGCTGTTCCCACCATGCCCTTACCATGGGCCACAGACTGTCTGGGGCTGATGGGAACTAGAATTCAATGCCATCCGGCCACAGGTGCCACCTCCCTGGCTGAGAAACTTGGGATGTCTCGGTGCCTCTCTGTGCAGGTATCTGTGGATAGCGTTGCTAGGAATAGAGGACAGAAGAGGAATTGCCGTGTCGTATATTTTGACAGGTAAACATTCTGCAAGGTCCAGAAAGCCATTCCTGTAGCAGATCAGGTGGGAAAGTGTGTGCTGAAATAAATTCATTCCCTCGCCTGTCTCCTGTCCGCTAGACCAGTCGGTCTGCAGAGCCAGAGGTTGCGAGTGCGATTCCCCAGGGTGCCTTCCGGGAGAAGAGCCAGCCTGGGTGGCCTTGGGCCAGCTGCACAGCCCCAGGGCTCCCTCAGAAGAAGGGACTGAAAACTTCTGAATACTGTATAGCTTGAAAGCCATAGAAAGGGTCACCCTAAGTTGGAATCCACTTGATGGGCATGTAATAATAATAATAATAATAATAAATTATCAGTAGCTTCACAAGAGAACCAAAGTCTAGCAATCGAAAGAGATAATGGATATCAGATGAGCATGCAAGCTCTTATTAACTGGCATAATTGAAGAGCAGGTATTTATCTAATATCTAATATAATTATATAACCTACTAACAGAAGAAGACTGACCAGTCTAGTGAGTAGTGCAAGGGAAGTAGGCAGTGTGGTGTATGTGTTGATGGAGCAACGGAGGGCCTGTTGCACGACAGGAGCCTTGTGGGAAGGTGCTCCTTCCTGACTTTTAGCCTGCTGGCCATCAAAGAGATTTCCCAAGTTTCTGAAACGCCAAGCTGCAGACCTGCTGCCAAGCAGTTATTTGGTCTGAGAACTAAATCCAGTTATTTGTCCCAATTGGAATACACTGGGCAAGTCAGTTAGCATTATATAAGTGCTGGCTTAATGTGTCCCATGTGTTCAATGAGTCTACCTTTATTCAGTTCAGCTTAGCTCTTTATGTTGGCTTGTTGTTGCATTCAGATTATGAATACTTGACAGCATCATACAGTACAGCAAGAACATGCATTTCTATCAGTTTGGAGTAGAGATGTGCTGGTTTCTGTCTCTTTTGGGCCATCCCCCAGGCAGTCTTGGATGACTTCAGGCGTTGTAGTACAAAAACACTGATCAGCTCATCTCTGGCTTGGGATTCTAGAATGTGATTCTGCCACGGTCCTTTCAGAGCAGGTGTTGGGCTGACTTATCGGGGCAAGGGTTAAACTTGGGTCCATTTTGAACTCCCCTCTCCACTTCTTCCCCTGCTCCAGCTGTGTGGAACCGTATCATTGAACCAGTGGCCATGATGCGCAAGGAAGCGGACATGCTGCGACTTTTCCCCGAGTACCTGAAGGGAGAAGAACTCTTTGGCTTGACGGTCCATGCTGTGCTGCGCATCGCAGAGTCTGTATGTACCAGATAGGGGGAGAGAGCAGGAGTTCTAAAATTAGGTGGGGGTGGGCCAACAAAGCAGGGAATGTGGCTTGACTCGGGAATCAAGGAGGAGTTGTGTTGGTTTTGGGAACACCGAAGGCAGGACTGTAGCCTTTGGATGGGTCTTTCTATGGGAGAGCAGGTGGCGCTAAGCAACAGTGCTGGGATCTGCCCTCGTGATGGAGCGTGAACGTTGCTCAAGTTCCTTTTTAGCAAAGAAAGGTGATGCCATGTGGATTGATTTGTGCTGGGAACTCCTGAATCACATGTGTTTGGGGAGTTGGGTCAGCGTCATCCTACAGGGCCGTCTTAGGGCATTCAACTGCAGCATTAAGGCTTTGAATGGTGTCATGCCCACTTCTTTCTTCCCAGCTGCCTGGTGTGGAGAGCTGCCAGAACTACCTATTCCGCTATGGGCGCCATCCACTCATGGAGCTGCCACTCATGATCAATCCCACAGGCTGTGCTCGATCGGAGCCCAAAATCCTCACACACTACAAACGGTGAGCATAAATGGTACCCAGACAGCTTTGCTCAGTTGGAGGCCTTCACTGACAGTGCACACCTCACCCTGAGGGAACAGTTCAAGACCGTGATGGTGGCAGGGATGTTGTAAGGAAAGTAACCATGAGTCACTGCAAGCGCATGTGCTTTGCCTAGAGAAGGTTCCCAGGTCCAATCTCTGGTTTTTTTCAGCTAAAAAGTTATGAGAGTTCTAACTGAAAGAAGAGGTGTCCCAAGAGTGTGCAGAGCTGCTGCCAGGTCTGCTGTATTCAATAAACATGGTGTATTTCTGGATCACAGTAAATCATGGTTTATGTTAATCATGGTTTATTGTTTAAGCTGTGGATTGCATAGCAGAAAGCTAAACATATCATGACCTCTTTTTCCCATTTGTGGCTTATATCTCTCTCACCCTTTTTGTCATCTGCTGTTTCAACATTAGTAGCTAGGGAAACAAACTATGAACATGCCCCAGTTTAAACAAGCCAGGTTCTTAAGCTCACCCCTCCACAAAAAGAGTTCAAACTGCATTTGTGGCTAGTTTACAAACTATTACTTGTCAGCAAAACTAGGCTTACAAATCACAAATAGTAAGATTTCAGTAAACTGTTATTACACTGTAGGTTGCAATAAGAATACATGGTTATTGTCTAATTTTCTATATGTCAGTGACCAAAATCCTGCTATGTAGTTACACTAGTAGAAGGGAAATGGCATAACTCGCAATGGCAAATAGCCACTAATTAATAAGTCTGCACAAGGATTCTTCATTGCACATCCATCACGCTTGGCATGCTGCCAGGTATTGGAGGCTCATTTGTAAGCAGCACTTCACCACGGCAAGTTACACTCATAGATAGTTGCAGTTTCCCTTCTGTTGGTGTAACTACACAACAGAGGATTTTGAACAGCTTCTTACATTTCTGTAGCCTGGATGCATGGTGCAGAAATGCAGAAAAGCCGGAGTGAGCGAGTTTGTAACCTGAGAAGTTAAAAAATGAAAAGGAACACCGATTTTATGCTTCCTTTGCCCCTAAGAAAGAAGAGCTAACTTTTGGACCTTCAAATTCTGTTCCTTTAACAAACAAAACTTGGATCCTGACATTGAAAACAGAATATTATTGAAGTTTGATGGCACTCTTGCAAAGTGCGGGCGGCATACAAGTCGATCCCCCCAAAATTAATTAATTGAGTGATTGATTGATTAAGGGGGAATCGGGCTGGCATGTTTTTTTTAACTTCCTGCTTTCTGAAAGAGCACAGAATGCATGATTGTGTTTTTATTTTTAATTGTGAAAGCTAGAATAGCACTAATAAGGCAGAATCCACATTGCACTGTGCATACCCTTGTGTTGAGGACTGAAAGTCGAACATGATTTTTAGCAGCAGTAGTGGTGCTCCATGGCCACTACAAACTCCATGCCAGCCTGATTTTATTCTTGTTCAGCTCATAGCCGTGTGGCGTCAGAATTTGGGTTCTTCATGAATATGGATGGGGCTGTATTCTTTGAGCAGGCTTCCAAGTTTCTTGGATTAACAGCTGGGATTTAGTTGTCGTCTGTAATACAGTTGAGCACAATTACCCTCCCAAAGTTACTGATAAAGCTGCTGCGAGAGGAAGGTTTCCATGATGCTTTGCCAGTCAGCAAGTGCAAACCGGATCCATAACTCAGTGTCTTAGACTGCTTTTTCCTAAAGAGGATTGGCCTTCAGCATCGGTTGAACCGCCTGCTTACAGCCGTGTGGGCAAAATGGTGGCCCTCGGGACTGCAGGCCCCATTTCACGTCTGGTTGTGTCGGCTGGGGCTAGACTTCTGGGAGCTGCAGTCCCACCCCCTGTGGAGGACCCCCATCATCCTCAGGATGTCTGTCCTCTCTCTTATTGGTAAGCATCGGTTGAACCGCCTGCTTACAGCCGTGTGGGCAAAATGGTGGCCCTCGGGACTGCAGGCCCCATTTCACGTCTGGTTGTGTCGGCTGGGGCTAGACTTCTGGGAGCTGCAGTCCCACCCCCTGTGGAGGACCCCCATCATCCTCAGGATGTCTGTCCTCTCTCTTATTGGTAAGTTTAATATCTTTCTTTCTCTTTCCTCCCTCCCCCCCCACTCCCACTGAGCTTAG